AGAGGCCGGAAGCGTGAACGTCTGGCGGATGCCCTCCGCACGACAGAAGGCCCTCAGAAGGTCGGAGGAAAACTCTCCACCTCTGTCGGAGTGCAGGCGCAGAACAGGAAGGTCCGAGCCGAAACTCTCGCTGAGCTGACGACGAGCAGCGCGGATCCAGTCGATCAGTACCTCAGTGACCTCACCCTTGCGGCGCAAGGGGACGACTGTGGTGTAATGCGAGTAGTCGTCAACGACCAGCAGAAAGTAGCGCTCGTGACCCTGTCCACGGACGCGGGCGGGGCCCCACACGTCCATGTGAAGAGTGTGCAGGGGAGCCTCCGTCGGAGGGAACTCGAAGGAGTGAGGAGCGGCGCGCTGCCGCCCCTCGACGCAAGGAACGCAGGTAGGGGCAGGCCCCGGGGGGAGGGGAGGGAGAGACCGGGGAAGACCAGTGACAAGGACACGGGAGGCCATGCCTCGGAGACGAGGCAGGGAGGGGTGACCAAGGTGGTGGTGCCAGAGGAGAGTCTGGTGAGACAGGAGGCGACACGAGCACGGGGCAGACTCAGGACCAGACCGGGACGCTGCAGCAAACACCTGACCCGACGCGGCTACGTGACCAGACTCAGCAACCGGAGGAGGCACGGTAGTCAGGGTGTACAGGCTCGACCCAGGATGACGAGTGAACGTGGCCAGGTGCTGGCCCGTCCGAGTACACGAACAGTGGGTCACCCGCTGACCTCCAGGAGTGAACTGGTCAACCCACGCATCCTGAAGGTCAGCTCCACTCACCAAGTTCGTGGAGAACGAGGGGAGGTGGACGCCAGACAAAGAGCCAGACGGGACCGCAGGACACGGCAGAACCGTGGAGGAGTGTGCAAGGACCGGACCCCCAGAGGGGTCAGCCGGAGCGACTGCCACCAGCCGACTGAGCAGCGAGAGTGTGGTGCAGTCGCGAAAGAAGGAGAGGGAAGCACCCGAGTCAAGGGTGAAAGTGTGCAAGACCTGAGCCGACGCGGTACCTGAGAGAGCAGCCTCACCAGCACCTGGAGCAGCAGACTCACTAGCACCTAGAGCAGTAGCCTCAATGCTCGGGTCGGGCGGAACACACAGGTAATAATCACCCTCAGCACTAATAGACACAGCATACATAGCAGCAATGATAACATCATAATCAAGATCAAAGATAGCAACCCCCGACTTAAGCAGATCACCCCAGCGAGGGATCTCAGTGGCGTCAGGAAACTGTGTACGCCAGGCGTCAGTCAGGCGGCCGAAACAGTGGAGCGTGGCGTGCGGGCCGCCGCACGTCTCTCCACTGCGGTCGCCGGTGCGGAGAACGTAAGCGCAGGGACCAGCACCCCCAGACCTCCCACGCCCAGCGTACCACTCACGAATCTGCTGGGGCGACACGGTCTCACGAGGGCGCTGCTGCTGCTGGCGCTGGCCACCGCCAAAGCCTCCCCGCTGCACAGCGCCACCCCGACCAGCACCACCGCCGCCGCCACCCCCACCGCCTCCGCCGCCGCCGCCGCCACCTCCACCCCCACTGCCGCTGCCTCCGCCGCCTCCACCTCCACCACCGCTACCGAAGCCCCCACTCCCGCCACCACCCCCACCTCCACCCCCACCCCCTCCACCGCCTCCACCGCCACCACCGCCGCCCCCGCCATCCCCTCCAGCACCCTTGCCCGAGGGGCAAAGGGAGAGGAAGTGGTCCCTGACCGAGCGAAGGGAGTTAGGGAGTCGGGTGACGAGGTAGTAGAGAGTGATGTACATAGGGGGGGGGTTCGCGGCGCAGAACTCGGCAGGAAGCGCAGTGCGGTAGTGGGTGTCACTAGTGCGGAGGTGCGTAATGAGGTCAACGACCGTGGCAAAAGCAGCTAGGTCAGGGAACAGGTATGGCAGCATGAGGCGGCTAAGGGCAGCAGTGGCAGGGGAGGAGTAGCGCGCAACAACAGCGTCGTACAGAGTCCTAGCGGTCTTGTACTGGCTAAAGTGCGCGCGCTCAGCAGACGGCAGGTGACTACGGACAGCTAGACGAGCAGCAGCATCGCGTGTGGTCCACTGTGAGCGAACTGTACTGTCAGCATCGGCAGCAGGGGCAACAGCGACGCCGGACGTGTGGTCGAACAGTGAGACTCCGTCCTTAGAGTCACACTGCAGAAAAAGCTGCAGATCATCGACCCAGACCTCAAAATCGACCGCTCGACCCTCAGCATCGAAGGTAAGGACATTAGGGCTAGCCATGACAGTAGGAGCAGCAGCAGTAGCCTAGCAGCAGCAGTAGCAGCAGGAGCAGCGCGACTTGGCAGGGCGGCGCGGCTCGCAAGGGTGGCGCGGGTGCGGCGGTGCGCTTACCAGGGTAGGGCCGCCAACGGCAGCGGTAGGCAGGGCCGCAACAGCGGCAGTAGGCAGGGCCACGACTGCCGCAGTAGCTGCAGGCAGGGCCGCGACAGCGGCCGAGCAGGGCCGCCACAGCTTCAGGCGGGGCCGCGACAGCAGGGAGACAGGGCCGCGACGGCTCCAGGCAGGGCCGCTACGGCAGGGAGGCAGGGCCGCGACGGCAGGACGGCAGGGCCGCGACGGCAGGGCAGGGCCGCGACGGCGGAAGTCAGGGCCGCGACTGGAGGGCGGCGGAGCCGCGTCAGCAGGGCGGCAGGGCCGTGACGGGATCAGGCAGGGCCGCGACGGCAGGGGCCGCGACGGCAAGGGGCCGCGACGGCAGGGGGGGGGGGGGCGCGACGGCAGGGTCCGCGACAGCAGGGGCCGCGACGGCAGGGGCCTCGACGGCAGGGGCCGCGACTGTAGGGGCCGCGATGGCAGGGGCCGCGACGGCAAGGGCCGCGACGGTAGGGGCCGCGACGGCAGGGCCGTGACGGCTCTAGTCAGGGCCGCGACGGCAGGGCAGGCGCACGGGGCGCAGGTAAGGCAGGCGCGAGGCGCGCGACAGGGCAAGGAGCGCGCTTTGGGCAGGGCAGAAAAAAAATATATTAAGTGGTGGGCCCTAAAAAAACGGTCCCACTAGGGAACCCGCTCTATACCATGTGAGAAATGTACGAGGAATGATGTCGACTAGAAAGGAGATGGGTGCTATGAAAACCTAGAAAATCTGTACCCCATAGTGTCTACCCCACTACAGTCTACACAGGCTATATCATATATGTTGGACATCTACGCGGTGACTGCTCGCATTGTCTATGAGGAGTACGACCTGCCGCTCCTCTGCGAAGAGCTTGGCATTCAAAGACTCGATGAACGCCGTGAAAATCTGCAGCCCAATAAAAAATGAATGCCGAGTATTATGCGAAGGAGTAGCACGCTTGGCAAATGCGGACACAACCGAGACATAGGTAAATACTTTAAGGAATCTGACTAGAAAACAACCACACTCAATCTGGCAGTTAGCGCTACCCGGTAGTTGACATCAACCCGGTAGCGCTACCCGGCTCACTAAACGACGCTACTGGATCGATTTTTTTGTCAACGTCGCATATTTTTGACGACATTCTAAGCGACAGTTTGAAGCCTACCCGGACTCAGGGCATAGCGTGGAAGTTCCCGAATTTACTGGTGTCAACTGCTCTTGCTTCTGGTGAACTTTCGCGGGAAACCGACTGCTTGATGTTCGTACTGAAGTGAGTTGACTGTATAATTCCGCATTCATTACCCAGCTCGGTTCAGTTGTAGCAAATTTGGAAGCAAATCCAATTGAGGTTTTAGGCAGCTTATATATCGTACTTAATAATATGTTTGCAAACCAATTATTATGCCAGTGCAGGAAGGAGAATGCGACCATCGACTCCTTACTTCTGTGCCTCACCCCTCAGCACCACTCTGCACCCCTTCGAAATCTGCTCACTTCTCGTCTTTATCTCCCTCATCAGCACATGCGCCTGTCCTGGATAAAACCTCCCCCTCACCTCGTCCTCCTTTTGTCCCTCTCTTAACGCTTCCCTAGCAGGTACCACATGCACCCACCAAAACTCCTCTAGCGCCGAGAACAGTAAACCCCAGTACTTTTCGTCTCTTTCCACCCTCCACAGTGCACTGCCGCCCCTTTTTGTCCACACGAAAAAATCCAGCCAATCTCGGTCGAATATTTCTAGCAGGCCTTGGATTTGGGGCATGTAGTAGTGCGGTACGGAGGGGTAAGGAGCGGCTGAGAGAGGTAAACCGCGGTTCCAGGGGCACTTGATTTCGAGGACGCCAGGCGAGTGGGGAGAGGAGTGCAGGGAGAGAGGGTCTGAGGGGAGGAGACCGTCGGGGGAAGCACCAAGCCATGAGAAGGTTGTGTCAGATTCCCTGTGTATCTGGAAAGGGCGGAGGGTCGCAGGGGAGGAGACCTTTGAGTTGACTCAAAAGTCAACTCGGAGGGGAGGAGACCTCGGGGGACGCACTGAGGCAAGAATAGGTCGGGTCGTGGTGCTTGCCAATACAGAAGGGCATGGAATTCAGAGGTCGGATGGGAGGGAGGCGAAAAATAAAAGAATTGAGGTTCAGATGAGAGGAGTTTGTAGGGGGGAGCACCAAGGCAGGAGAAGGTTGGATTGTGGTGCAGGTACATCTGATGGGATGAGAGAGAGATGAGGAGAAGAGGGACGAGCAGGGAGACGGAAAAAAAGGAAGAGAAGCAGAGAAGGCCGCATGTGCAGCTTCCCTGCCCCACACACAGCCTCACCCGGAACGACCTATGCTCCACGTGCCCGCCTGTCAGCCGTTCATACTCCCTCAGAGCCTCCCCCTCCCTTGCCTGCCCCCACTGCATGTCCATCGTTGCCTTACCTACAACTCCCTTACCCCATACACACCCTCACTTGAAACGACCTGTGCTCCACGTGTCCGCCTGTGAGCCGCTCATGCTCCATCAAGGCCTCCTCCTCCTTCCCCTGCCCCCACGCTCTCGCCTCATTCCCACCTACAACTCCCTTACTCCACGCACACCCTCACCTGGAACGACCTGTGCTCCACGCGTCCCCCTGTCAGCCGCTCATACTCCATCAGAGCCTCCTCCTCCTTCACATGCCCCACGCGGTCGCCTCATTCCCGGCAAACGGCGCCCGCAGCCCCAGCTTTTCTTCCCACAGCTGCTGCCGGCCCCCTGGGAAGAACCCCACGGCCTTCTCAAACGCGCTGGCTGTCAGCCGGTTGGCTCTCAGTGTGAACCACTCGTCTGTGCGCTGCTCCTCACCGCCCTTGTCCAGATTCACTGTATCCTCCTTCGTGGTCATTGGCCGTTCTGTGTTCCCCGTTGCTGGTATGATTAGTGCTGGTTTTTGGGGCCAAAAAAGCCCTGGTTTGCTGTGAGGAGAATCCTGTCGAGTGCTATCCCTCCCTAGGGGCGTTTCCCCTCCCGCAGACTCTCCGGCATCCACCAATGATGGTGCTGATGGTGTTGCTTTCCGCCACGCTGACTGCAGTTGTGCTGGGGGGAATTTGAACGCCGGTGGTGGTATTTGGCTGCGAATGATCGCCAGCTGCTGCTGCACGTACTGCCAGCGTTCTGTGGTACGATGACGATTGGATGGGGGATAAAAGGAAAAGGAAAAGGGAAGTGAAAAGAGGCAAGGGAAGGGACAGGCTGTGGTGGTATTTGGCTGCGAATTATCGCCAGCTGCCGCTGCACGTACTGCCAGCGTTCTGGAGCACGACGAAGATGTGGAAGAGGATGTGAGCGAAAGGAAGGAAGTGAATGTGAATGTGAATGTGAGTGTGAATGTGAATGTGAATGTGAATGTGAATGTGAATGTGAATGTGAATGAGAATGAGAATGGTCATGGTCATTTGGCTGCGAATGACCGCCAGCTGCTGCTGCACGTACTGCCAGCACTCAGCAATGCGGAGAAGATGGAGTAGCACCAAGTGCTTGCTCGAAAGTCATTGGGGAAAAGAAGGAGAGCAGGCATACCGATATTGAAGAGCCGCGTATGGGGAAGTGGAGGAAGAAAGGGACGCACACATCAGCAGCAATAGCACAAGAGCGGCAACCCAATGGTGAGTCGCGAGCGCCGAAAGAATGGGAAGAAGGGATGCAAGGGGTCCTTTACCTGCTGGGATGACGATGTTCCCTCGGCCTCTGTTCACCACCACCCCGTGCACCCCTTTCGTTCTTTCAAACGCCTCCGTTCTCCCTTCTCCCCTCCTTTCAGCCTCCCTCCCGCTCCCGTCCGCCTCAGCGTCTCTCCTCTCACCGTCCCTCACCACGAGCCCCTCTCCCGGCCTCCCGTCTCCCTGCATTCCCTCCTCCTGCCTCACCTCCCCCTGCCTCACCTCCCCCTGCCTCTCCCCTCCTTGTAGTTCCTCGTCCTGCCTTTCCTCTTCTGAAGCAGCTGCAGCGGCGCGGCTCCACATTTCCCTTCGGAACGTCGTCATACCCTCTACAAGCACTCCCGCTGTTTCAACAGGGACGGCTGCAGGCGTTAAGGGGAGGGACGGCGCGGTGCGGCGGGGGGCGGAAAGGGCTCTGCGAAACGGCTCTGGGGTCGCGACACCACTGTTCGGGTTACCACTAGCTCCACCTTTCCAAGTAGTATCGGCCTGACGGGTACTAGTGCTAGCACTAGCACTAGCAGCGTGTTTACTGCTGCCGACCACGCTGTTCGCATTACTACTAGTCGTGCCACTACCAGCAGCGAGTTCGCGGTGGGGATCGCGCACTGCAGCTCCAGCTTGGTCGTTAGTGCTGCTGCTGACCTTATCCGGAATCCACCAGTCCTCGTGTCGGCCCGAGTGCGCGGATCGCCCAGTCACGTTCCGCCACGTGTCACGGGATACATTTCCGGCGCCAGCCGTCACTGTACCGGTCCATTTCCCTCTGCCGGCGGCCAGCAGAACAGCGAAACGTGGCCTCATGCTAGTGTCCAAGGGCCCGACGTCGAATCTTAATCGTATCTGATGCGGTCTTACTATCTGTTGCCTTATTGAAGCGAATCGTAATAATCGCGGGGAGTTGCGGCTGGGTGGGTAGATCTTCCTGTTGGGTGGGTAGATCTTCCTGTTGGGCAAGAAAGCTCGGCGCGCTATGAGCGAAGCTCGGCTGGCGACTGACGAACCTCTTACTAGCTGATCTGTTAACCCAGTCATCTCATTGGCTATAGGCAGAGAGCTCGTTATAAGAGCCGAATACACAAGGGTGATAGTTTTTCCTGACAATGAAACCGCTAAGACTGCGATTCGTCAACTTCCATGTCCCTACAAGAGATATGGGAAATGAGTTGAGAATTGGCGGGAAAAAAATAAATTATGATCTCAGGTGTTTGAACGAAATGTTTCGTACAGTGCACCTCGTTTGACGAAAACACATTTCGTAGTGTAAATATCGATAACCCTAGATCTAACAGCTACAAATTTTGTTTCTGCAAACCCTTTTAGAGCGCGACGAATTGCACTCAACCTCACTTCAGTAAACAATTGTGCTCTCTGTATTGCGACCAGCTCTGTGCTCCTACACAGCCTCTCTGCTTCCACAATAGCCTCTGAGTGTCCTCTCAGGCGTTTTCTCGTGACGATTGAACTTCGAATTTGTTGGGCTGAGAAAGCCCTTAGGATCTTTGCAGGACAGAATTCAAGAGTAGAATGATGTAGTAGTGGAAGCGTTTTAATGAAGATGTCATAACATTATAGCTTATGCTGTTGTGTAGGCTATAGTGGGGTATCCCATAGGGGGTACAACCAATTAGGGTTTCATATTTGTACTCACTTCATTTTCATAGTTCACCCATTCTCGTTCTCATTCTCACATGGAATCAGAGCAGGTCCCCTCCTAGGGACTGTTCCTTGGGCCCACCGAAGCGCGCCTCGAGTCGCGCCTGCCTTTTTTTTTAGCGACCCGTCGAGTCGCACCTAGCGGCCCGTCGCGCCGCCCTTACGGTCGCGTCGAGCCGCCCTAGCGGCTGCGGCGCGCCGCCCTTTTCCCGGCCCGTCGCCGCCCTTACCCGCGGCTTTGCGCCGCCCTCACCGGCGGCTTCGCGCCGCCCCTACCTGCGGCTTCGCGCCGCCCAGGCCCGTCGCCGCCCTTCCCGCGGCTTCGTGCCGCCTCTACCTGCGGCTTCGAGCCGCCCCGGCCCGTCGCCGCCCTTACCTGCGGCTTCGCGCCGCCTACGGCCCGTCGCCCCCCTTTTCTGCGGCCCCGCCGCCTCTCTCGTTGCGGCCCCGCCGCCCGTCTTCGCGGCCCCGCCGCCATCTCTCGCTGCGGCCCCGCCGCCACTCACTGCGGCCCCGCCACCCGTCTCAGCGGCCCCGCCGCCCGTCTTCGCGGTCCCGCCGCCTCTCTCGCTGCGGCCCCGCCGCCTCTCACTGCGGCCCCGCCGCCCTACTCAGCGGCCCCGCCGCCCGACTTCGCGGCCCCGCCGCTTCTCTCGCTGCGGCCCCGCCGCCTCTCTCGTTGCGGCCCCGCCGCCCTTCACTGCGGCCCCGCCGCTTCTCTGCAGCGGCCCCGCCGCCCGTCTTCGCGGCCCCGCCGCCTCACTACCCAGCGGCCCCGCCGTCCTTCTGCAGCGGCCCCGCCACTCCTCTACAGCGGCCCCGCCGCCCTACGTCAGCGGCCCAGCCGAGCCGCCCAATAGCAGCGCAGCCGAGCCGCCCAGCAGCAGAGCAGCCGAGCCACCCCGCCGCCGAGCCGCGCTGCAGCCGAGCCGCCCGGCCGCCCACCAGCCGCGATGCTGCTGCCCGCCTTGCTGTGCGTAGTCACCTACTGTCTACTGAGCGCGCGCACTTTAGTCAGTACAAGAGTGCTAAGACTCTGTACGACGCTGTCGTTGCACGCTACTCTTCCCCTGCCACTGCTGCACTTAGCCGCCTCATGCTACCGTACCTGTTCCCTGACCTCGCAGCTTTTGCCACAGTCACTGACCTCATTACGCACCTCCGCACTAGTGACACTCGCTACCGCGCTGCACTTCCTGCTGAGTTCTGCGCGAAGAACCCCCCCCCCATGTACATCACCCTCTACTACCTAGTCACCCGACTCCCTGACACTCTTCGCTCGGTCAGGGACCACTTCCTCTCCCTTTGCCCTACCACCCTCACTGTTGACCTCCTCGAGGAGCGACTCCTTGCAGCAGAGACTAGTATTACCGCTGTAGGAGCCTCTCGTGGTGACCCCCGTACCCCTTTCTTTGAGGGGTGCTCCCCCGTTCCTCTTTTGCCCTCCGTTGCCTCTACTGCTGCTGTCGACCTTGTTGGCACCGAGTCGGTCAGCGCTGCGCCTGCTCCTAGTGAGAGGCGCCGCCACAGCAAGGGCAAGCGGGGCAAGGGCGCTGGAGGAGGTGGTGGGGGAGGCGGTAGTGGCGGTGGAGGCGGAGGAGGGGGAGGGGGTTGGGGTGGTGCCAGAGGTGGGGGTGGTGGCAGCGGTGGAGGTGGAGGCGGCGGTGGCGGTGGCGGTTGGAGTGGAGGTGGAGGAGGCGGAGGCGGCGGAGGTGGAGCTGGTAGAGGCGGAGCTCTGCAGCGGGGACCCCAGCACCAGTCACGCTCCCGTGAGACCCCGTCGCCCCAGCAGCTTCGTGAGTGGTACGCAGGGCGCCAGGGGTCTGGGGGTGCTGGTCCCTGTACCTACGTCCTGCGCACAGGCGACCGCACTGGTGAGCAGTGTGGTGGCCAGCACGCCACCCAGCGCTGCTTCGGTCGCCTGACAGATGCCTGGCGTACCCAGTTCCCTGACGCTACTGAGATCCCTCGCTGGAATGATCTGCTCAAGTCGGGTGTAGCTATATTTGATCTTGACTTTGATGCTATTCTTGCTGCCATGTATGCTGTGTCTATTAGTGCTGAGGGTGACTGTTACGTGTGTGTTCCGGCTGACCCGGGCATTGAGGCTGCTGCTCTAGGTGCTCGTGAGTCTGCTGCTCCAGGTGCTAGTGAGTCTGCTGCTCTAGGTGCTGGTGAGTCTGCTCTCTCAGGTACCGCGTCGGCTCAGGTCTTGCACACCTTCACCCTCGACTCGGGTGCTTCCCGCTCCTTCTTTCGAGACCGCACCACCCTTACGCCGCTCAGTCGGCCGGTTGCGGTCTCCTTGGCAGACCCCTCTGGGGGTCCTGTTCTTGCTCGCTACTCCACTGTCCTCCCGTGTCCGGCGGCCCCGTCCGGGTCCCTGTCTGGTCTCTACCTCCCCTCGTTCTCTACGAACTTGGTGAGTGGTGCTGACCTTCAGGATGCCGGGGTTGACTAGTTCACTCCTGCGAGTCAGCGAGTGACCCACTGCACGTGTGCTCAGACGGGCCGCCACTTGGCCACGTTTACCCGTCGACCGGGGTCGAGCCTGTACACACTGACCACAAAGTCTCCCTCGGTTCCTGCGTCTGGTCAGGTAGCTGCGTCAAGTCAGGTGTTTGCTGCAGTGTCTCGGTCAGGTCCTGAGTCTGCCCCCTGCTCGTGTCGCCTCCTGTCCCACCAGACCCTCCTCTGGCACCACCGCCTTGGTCACCCCTCCTTGCCTCGTCTCCGAGGCATGGCCTCCCGTGTCCTTGTCTCTGGTCTCCCCCAGTCCCTCCCTCCCCTTCCCCCGGGGCCTGCCCCTACCTGCGTTCCCTGCGTCGAGGGGCGGCAGCGCGCCGCTCCTCACTCCTCCGAGTTTCCCCCGACAGAGGCTCCACTGCGGACTCTCCACATGGACGTGTGGGGCCCAGCCCGCGTCCGTGGACAGGGTCACGAGCGTTACTTCTTGCTGGTGGTTGACGACTACTCGCGTTACACCACAGTCTTCCCCTTGCGCAGCAAGGGTGAGGTCACTGAGGTGTTGATCGACTGGATCCGCGTTGCTCGTCTCCAGCTCAGAGAGCGTTTCGGCTCGGACTTTCCTTTTCTGCGTCTGCACTCCGACAGAGGCGGAGAGTTTTCCTCCGACCTTCTGCGAGCCTTCTGTCGTGCGGAGGGCATCCGCCAGACATTCACGCTTCCGGCCTCTCCACAGCAAAATGGGATTGCTGAGCGCCGCATTGGCATGGTCATGGATGTCGCTCGTACGTCCATGATCCATGTGGCTGCTCCCCATTTTCTGTGGCCGTTCGCGGTTCAGTACGCGACGCATCAGATCAACCTTCAGCCCCGGGTCCCCCTGCCGGAGACCTCCCCTACTCTGCGGTGGACGGGGAAGGTTGGTGATGCGTCTGCGTTCCGTGTCTGGGGATCTCGAGCTTTCGTCCGAGACTTGTCTGCGGACAAGCTGTTCCTTGCGTCTTCCTCGGCTTTCCCCCTGACGCGCTTGGTTGGCAGTTTTACCACCCCACCTCGCGTCGTGTTCTGTCCTCCTAGGACGTCACGTTTGACGAGTCGGTTCCGTACTACCGTCTCTTCCCCTACCGCACTGCCCCCCTCCCCCCCCCGCTGCTCTTCCTCGCGCCCGGTCCCCCCCCGGTAGACCCCCTCCCCCCTCAGGGTCCTGCCCCCTCAGGTGTGTCCCAGGTAGATGCTGTCGAGCCTGTCGAGGTAGCTGTTGACTCTGGTGCTTCTGGGGATGCTGAGCCTGAGCGTGTGGAGCCTGGAGGTGCTGGGTCTGGGGGTGCTGAGCCTGAGCGTGCGGAGCCCGGGGGTGCTGCGTCTGGGGGTGCTGAGCCTGAGCGTGCGCAGCCTGGGGGTGCTGCGTCTGGGGGTGCTGAGCCTGAGCGTGCGGAGACTAGGGGTGCTGAGCCTGAGGTTGCTGAGAGTGGGGGTGCGGAGCCTGCCGGTGCTGGACCTGGAGGTCCTTCGGGTGCTTTGTCCCGGCGGGAGCTTCCCTCTCCACAGGAGCTGCACGAGTGGTTTCCTCGGCGCTGGAGTCGTGCTTCTGGAGCTGGAGGTGCTGCCGGTGCTGGAGGTTCTACTGCTGCTGGAGGTGCTGCTGGAGCCGGTGCTGGAGGTTCTGCTTTTGCTGGGGGTGC